TGGTGCTGGGAAGATGGCTGAGATGACAAGGGGCTTGGTGAACAATCCTGGGGAACAGAATCTAGACCTCAACACCCATGTTCACACTGGGTGTAGAAGCCTATACCTTTAGCTCTAAGGCACTGGTTCCCAACCTTCCTAACGCTGTGACCCTTTAACCCAGTTCTTCATGTTGTGGTGACCCCAAATTATCTTTGTTGAGACTTCATAAGTTTGCTACTGTTATGAATCTTAATGTAAATATCTGTGTTTCCCGATGGTCTTATGGGACCCCCGTGAAAGGGTCGTTTGCCACTCCCCCAGGCTGCTCTAAGGGAGTCAGTGTCCTCTTCTGTCTTCAACACAGGCCCACGTGCACTGTGCGTCTATTTAAACCACACACAGATGAGGAGAACATGATCAAAATGTATGAAAAATTTTTTCCCATTTTTTTTTCTCTTCCTTCTTCAGCCAGAGCTCATGTACCCAAGCTGGTCTTGAACTCACTGTATAACCAAGAATGACCTTGAATCCCTGATCTTCCTGCCTCCACCTCCCATTTTTTATCTTGGTAGAAATAATTTCTTTACCCTTGTCCTGCATTTTTGTTAACTTTACACAGGCTATAGTCATTCTGGAAGAGGAAACCTCGACGGAGAAGATGCTTGCAGCAGATTGACTCGTAGCCCTGCCTGCGGTGCATCTTCTTCATGGATGATGGATGGGGGGCGCTCAGCCCACTGTGGGCAGGGCCAGCCTGGGCTGGTGGTCCCGGGTACTATAAGAAGGCAAGGTGAGCAAGCCAGTAAACAGTGCTCCTCCATGGCCTTCATCAGCTCCTGCTTCCTGGTGCCTGCCACACATCCCTCAGAAGTGGACTGTACTGTGGAACTAGGAGTGGAAATACACCCTCCCCTCCCAACGTGCTTTTGGTAATAGTGTTTTATCCCAGCAATAGAAACCCTAGACAACGGTCACTTCACACCAAGGAAATGAACCATGTATGTTAGGGTGTGTAAGTGCATATAGAGGGACTCAACACTAAAAGCCCCAATCCCGCCCCCCCCCCCCACACACACACACACACAAAGAAAGGATAAAATTAGGTCTGTAGGGCTCAGGCAGTGAAGTGTATACCTCACCAGCCCTAGGAACTCGGATGGGACCACAGAAACCAAGTAAACGCTCTGGGCACAGTGTCATACTCTCGTAATCCCATACTCGAGGGCAGGCAGTGGTATTCTGGGGCTCACCTGGCCAGCAATCTAGCCTCACTGGTGAGAGCCAGTCAATGGGAGACTAACCCAGAGGAGGACAGTGTTTGTATGGATTGTGCTGGAGGTTGTCCATGGACCTCTGTATGCACACTCACACATGCACCCCTGCACACACATGAGTACACACACGAGAGCAAAATACCCAGACACACAACAGAAGAACAGAGACAGTGTGCTGTGGTTTCTGTGGACTCAGCAATTATCTTCCCTTTGTACTTCCTGTCTGTCGCCTGAGAGCAGTGCTTTCCCAATATGCCTCTGTGGCCTCGGGCTTGTTTTATGTCAGCACGTCGTAAATATCATTACTGGATCCATCTATTTGAATACTTTAGTTTCTTTTAAAATTGCAGAAAGAGATCTGGAGAGATGAGTCAGTACATAAAAGCACTGGCTACTCTACCAGAGGGCCCAGGTTTGATACCCAGTACCCATATGGCAGCTCAAACGAGTCTGTTACTTCAGGTCTAGATCTGAAGTCCTCTTCAGACCCTTTGGGCACTACACACAGGTGAACAAAACATCTATATGCATAAAATAGAAATAAAGCTTTACTTTAAAAAAAAATGCAGACTTTGAGAAAAAAACTGCAGAAAGCTACCAGAATCATTGAGAGTCAAGTCAGTCAAATGTAGAGATTATTGTGTAACTGTGACTTTGTTATCCAAAACACACAAGGAAGGCCGCTCATGCCATGACATTGACAGGGACACTGTAATTTGCACAGATGGTACTAGGGACCCGTGCTAGGAGAGCTGCTGCTGCTCCTGCTGCTCCTGCTGCTCCTGCTGCTCCTGCTGCTGCTGCTGCTGCTCCTGCTGCTGCTGCTGCTGCTCCTGCTCCTGCTCCTGCTGCTCCTGCTGCTCCTGCTGCTCCTGCTGCTGCTGCTGCTGCTCCTGCTGCTGCTCCTGCTGCTACACTGCAGTTCTGAGCAGAGGGGGTTTCATGGGCCTAGTTCCTCAAAGGCTGATTCCAAGAATGAAGTCTTGTTTACAGGTGTGCCTGACAGGCAAAGCCTAAGCCATAAGTCTGGGCCTGAACTGCAGCGGAGCCTTAGACATACTCAACATGGAGGAGTAAACTTTGTTTTGTTTTGTTTTCTGGTTTTTCAAGAGAGAGTTTCTCTGTGTAGTCCTGGCTGTCCTGGAACTCACTCTGTAGACCAGGCTAGCCTCGAACTCTCGAACTCAGAAATCCGCCTGCCTCTGCCTCCCAAGTGCTGGGATTAAAGGCGTGCGCCACCACTGCCCGCCAGTAAACTTTGTAATGTGGGAACTTCTCCAGATGGAGACATGAGGATCCGTAATTCATGGCCAGATTCTGCTACATAGTATGGTCAAGAAAAGTCTGGGCTACAGGGGATCCTGTCTGAAAAAAAAAAAAAAACGAAAGGGGGAAGCAGGAAAGATGGCGGTTATAGGAGCATGTGCAGCTCCTGCAGAGAGCCTCAGTTCCCAGGACACACATCAGAAAGGTAATAGACCCCTTAACTTCAACTCCAGGGGATCTGACGTCCTCTTCTGGCTCCAAGGACATCTGGACTCATGTGAACATCTACACAGAGACATCCACATATACATAATTAAAAGTAAAATAGATCTTTCAAAAAGAAAAATATATGCATTTAAAAATATGGTGGTCAGGTTAGATGTCACCATGGTTTGTGCCTGTGCTTCTTTACCATACCTCTTTTAAAAATATACCCACGAGGAGCCACAAGATGGGCTGGCAGGCAAATGCACTTGCTGCCAAGCCTAAATTCAGTCCCTGGAACACACATGGTTATAGTAAAGGATCTTCAAGTAGTCCTCTGACCTCCACATACACACTATGACACAGATTCCCCCCCCACACACAGGATAAATGTAAAAAGCAATAAACATTTGAAACATTTTCATATGAAACATATTACATATAATAGCTAGGAATTATTTCAAAATAATCTGGGTAATGAGAAGATAAATGAAACAAGTTGGCAGTTACAGGAAATTGTTGAAACAGAGTAATAGTTTCATAGGAGTTCCTTATCTCACTGCTTTCTTGTTTTACCTTTTGAGGATGAGGTTTTATGTAACCCAGGCTGGCCTGAGACTAGCAAGGTAGTGAAGGCTGGCCATGAACTCTTGATCTTCATGCCTCTGCCTCCAAAACGCTGGGATGGTAGGCATGCTATCTCTGGCCATATTTCCACTTTTACACATGTTTGCATCTTTTTAGATAAACAAATTTTTTTTGAGACAGGTTGTCCCAAAATGTACTATATAGCCCAGGCTAACCTCAGTCAACCTTTCTGGCAGTCTCATTGGTGAGTCTCCACATACATGCTTTGGCTTTATATTTACTTATTTGTATTTTACATGTATGTGTGAATACCTGAATGTATGTAGATAGCGGGAGTCTGAGGAGACCGGAAGAGACCATTGGATCCCCCAGAACTGAAATTCCAGATGCTTGTAAGTCACCAAATGCATTCTGGGAAACAAACTTAGGGCCTCAACAAAAGCAGCAAGTGTCCTTAACCACTGAGCCATCTCTCCATCCCTGCTTCCTTTTTAGCAGTCTTATGTGGCTTGGGTTGGCCTTAAACTCTTGATCTTCCTGACTCCAATTCTGGAATTACAGACATAGTCCTTGTCAGATTAAAATGTTCTAGTTCAATATTTTAAATTTTCAGTAGAAAAAAAAAATAGGAATAAGAAAAGTGAAAAGAGCCGGGCAGTGGTGGCGCACGCCTTTAATCCCAGCACTTGGGAGGCAGAGGCAGGTGGATTTCTGAGTTCGAGAGTTTGAGGCTAGCCTGGTCTACAGAGTGAGTTCCAGGACAGCCAGGACTACACAACACAGAGAAACCCTGTCTCGAAAAACCAAAAAAAAAAAAAAAAAGAAAAGAAAAGAAAAGAAAGAAAGAAAGAACAGTGAAAAGATCAATGGAGCACTGTGGGAAGGTGCTCAGAGTGTACGCCACCACCAGAGACCGCTAGCCAGAACATAGTAAAAAACAGTGATTAAGATTCAGATTTTAAAACTAATAGTTTATTTTACCCTAGCTGCACCTAGAAGACCACAGTGCCAGTTGGATGTATATTCTGGTGTGGGTAAGTATGTGTATGCATGTGTGATAACTGCATGTGTAACTGCATATGTGTATATGTATGCTTGTGTACACGTGTGTATAACTGTGTGATAACTGTGTTGTATGTGTTTAGCTGTGTGTGAGATTAACTGTGAGTATGTGTGTGATAACTGTATATGTGTGTATTTGTATAACTGTGTGTGAATGTGGGAGATAATGGTATGTGTATAACTATGCTTGTGAGAGATAACTGTGATAGAACCGTGTGTATGTGTATAACTCTGTGTGTGTGTGATACTTTGAACCAAAACAAAGGAACGGCTGAGTGTGTATTAGACACAATAAGTCATATATGGCTTGTGTTAAAGGATAAGACAGGGTTTCCTAGGGAATCACGAAGGGAGCTGAGATTTGAGGAGCCTGATCCAAATGCCTTTACAACTAACCGTTTCCATCTCAGGACTGATGTGAATGAAATGGACCACCAACATGACACAGGGTTGGAGAACTTTGTCCTGCTCTCTGCTGAGGTTAGTCTATTGACAGCCTCTGCCAGGGAACCCTCTGGGCAGCTCCTTGCACCCGCACGGTCCCATGGTGAGAAGGGGAGGGCCAGAGGCAGCTGTTCTCGTAAGTCTTTAAATGAAACCGAAATGAAAGTTCACTTCCTCATGGTGGATGCTTCATGTGACAAGCTTCGATTTCTTTTTAGAGTCATTTCGACCAGCCTCCTGCTGCCTGGGACATTTTTGGAGTGAGCACCACACCTCAGGGTAACCATGAGGACTCCTGCCCACACTGCCATGTATGTACTGTCTGCTGTTTTTGTTTTGTTCATATATGGTCTTAAACATTCTCTGTCTTCTCATCAGCGAGGCGGCTGGGTTTTTTAAATCTTTGCTTTCAGGAAGTAAGCTGAAAACAAAAATCATGCCGCCCATTCACCTCTTGTTTTTCTGATTAGGAAGTCTGTCTGAGAGATTCCTGTTGGCTTAAATCTCTACGATGAGATTTAAACCTGGGTTACTCTGAAGCATGATCTGAAGGCTCACACGGTTAAAAGGATTCAGTTTCAGCCAGGCAATGGAGTCTCACACCTTTAATCCCAGCACTCGGGAGGCAGAGGCAGATGGTTCTCTGAGTTTGAGGCCAGCTACAGCCAGGGATACACAGAGAAATTCTATCTCAAAAACAACAACAATAACAACAACAATATAATAAATTCACTTTCAGGCGACTACTGAATTTCTGTTAAATATAGGAACAGAATGGGCATCAGCTGTGTCTTTTAGAGACTGGGTCTCACCTCTTAAATTTGGCTGCCTTAGAACTTGATATAAAGATCAGGCTGGTCTCAACTTACAGTACTCCTCCTGCCTCACCTTTGCCTCCTGAGAGCTGGGATCATAAACATGAGCTACACCTGTTGAGAAACCTGTTTTTGGATATCTGATTTGTTGGGGAGAAATGTGAAAAAGGAAAATAACCCAAGGGTGTAAAAATCTAAGAACTGAGTTGTCCTTTAGCTTTCTCTAAAGGCGAGCCGATGTTTATCTGATAGAGAGAGTGGAGCTGCTTGGTTGTTGGTATTGACTTTGGTGTTCCCACTCAGGCCAAGGGCCTCACCCATACCAGGCAAGTGCCATACTGTGGAGCCATGTCCCCAGCCCTGTTTGTTGATTTTGGAGATCTGTGTTGCCTAAACAGGCCTTGTTGAAATAGTCCTCCTGCCTTGGCTTCTTAAGATGGGACTATAGGTATCCGCACTGTACCTGGCTTATTTTTGAAACTAAATTTTAACTGATATAAGAAAGGAGAACAATTATATGTATTAATGAGGTACAATGTAGTGTTGCCGTATACACACATACTATGCTATGGTGATTTAAATATTTAAATATCACTTAAGATAGACATATGTCTTCATTAGGTGTGTTTCTTTTTTTTTTTTTTTTTTGTTTTGTTTTTTGTTTTTTCGAGGCAGGGTTTCTCTGTGTAGTCCTGGCTGTCCTGGAACTCACTCTGTAGACCAGGCTGGCCTCGAACTCAGAAATCCGCCTGCCTCTGCCTCCCAAGTGCTGGGATTAAAGGCGTGCGCCACCACCGCCCGGCTTAGGTGTGTTTCTTTAAGAAAGGAGAAAGGGCGGCTGGAGAGATGACTCCGCAGTTAAGAGCGCTGTTTGCTCTCTCAGAGGTCAAGTTCAATCTCCAATGACTACGTAGTGGCTCACAGCCATCTACAGTGCGACCTGATGCCCTCTCTGCCATGCAGGAATACATACAGATAGAGCACCCATCTCCATTATAAATAAATAGAAAGAAAGAAAGAAAGAAAGAAAGAAAGAAAGAAAGAAAGAAGGAGGGAAAGAAAGAAAGAAAGAAAGAAAGAAAGAAAGAAAGAAAGAAAGAAAGAAAG